TGAAGATTACCCCGTGCCGCCTCCACTCCTGGGCTTGAATCACTTGATGTAGTTATTGTCTGGAGAAATTGCACATGTATGCTACCATGGAAACTGTGGCAAAAGCCTGATGCTACATACAAGAAGCAAGTAGGTTTGGCACAGTAGCAAGTTACTAAGTTGGTGACTGGTGTTGAAATTGCTCTCTTGGAGACCATTCATTAGAAGCAGTTTGACACTCCTTGATAGAAGCAGTTTGACACGTCCGATCGGACAGACAGATTCCCTGCAAAAACCAACTCATAGGAATCCCCTGAATAAAACGGACCAAACGGACATTTGTCTGTCTGTCCGATAGTACGTGTCAAACTGCTTCTATCAAGGAGTTTCCAATGAATGGTCTCCAAGAGAGCAATTTCAACACCAGTCACCAACTTAGTAACTTGCTACTGTGCCAAACCTACTTGCTTCTTGTATGTAGCATCAGGCTTTTGCCACAGTTTCCATGGTAGCATACATGTGCAATTTCTCCAGACAATAACTACATCAAGTGATTCAAGCCCAGGAGTGGAGGCGGCACGGGGTAATCTTCAATTATGTGATATCTTTAACATGAATTTGGACCTATCAAAGTACTTCCACATTAAACACACCCTTGGGTGAACGCAGTGCAGAGGTCAATTGTCAAACACCAAAACCTCACCACTATGAAAATTAAAGAACTCTTCCCTGGCTTAAAATTTGATTGAATTTTGTGGTTGAATGGTATTATACTGTATATTACCTAGTTGTGAGATGTTATGGGAGAAAATTGTTGCCTAGATAAAACCGGAAACCTGCTCAGTGCCATTCTTACTCCTGATGGGCAACAGCAGCAGTGCACTACCATTCAGCCATGATCTGTAGATTTTTGTCATCGTTTATTTGCTAGGGGAGGGGGATGTCACATTCCTCATTACTCTTCCATGTTTCATCTTTGAGCGCTATTCTGAGGAAGCACGCTGGCTTGTAGGTATCAATCATTGGAGAATTTGCTGCTGCTACCCCTGAAACCTTGTATTGCATCAGCTACAGTTGCAAGTGCCTTCATATGCTATGTATTCCGGGTATCTCACACAATCCGCATGAAAGCTCCCCAGTTCTGATTTCTTTCACTCTGCTTGCTTCATGACAGGCAGTGCCCATGCTGACTTGCAAGCCAACCAGAAGATGGACAAAACAACCTCATTCCATCTGCTGAAAAGAGTTTGCCTCCATCCGCCTTGTTGTCTGGGGATCTCAGATGCTTCCATTCTTTCAGTGATCATACCGATCTTCAAAGCCAACAAGGAGCAAGGAGATAGCAAATCAATATTATTCCCCTTGTGGGCAACACTGACTCCAGTAGTATCCAGCTTGCTCATTTCAGCCCCCATGGCGGTAGATTGTTGGTGAAAAGTATGTTTCTTCACTTCTTCAGTGCCAATCTTGTCTTCTCGGTTTTGGGTAACAAGACTAGCCAGCACTGTGGCTTCATCTCGTTGGATTACAAGAAAAACACATCAATAATTACCAACTTTTGCAGCTGTTGTCATCAATCTATTCTTTGGGGCATCTGAATGGGCCTAGCACTGAATTATAGTTGCTATCTTCTATATATGTTGCTGACTAAAGCCAACAATTTGTGTCACTAAATTAGAAACTTATTCGTTGGATTCACTCATTTTATATGTCACTGCATACTTTACTTTCAATGCAACTGCTGGCTAGAAGTTTTCTTGAAGTTACTGTAGGTTTGAAAATGCATCATCAACTCAGTTCTTGTGTTTACACCCATGTAGAAGCAATCGAATAAAGCTGCCCTGGGAAAGAAGACAGATCACTTTGCCGATCAGGCATCAGGCGCTGCCACTGTGGCATATGCCAGGGGTGTAAGCTGTCCAATACTTGTTTTCATCTCATCTGTAAAGTGGGCAATGGGGCTCCTTCCTTGGTCCCGCATTTGCTTCAAGCTTTTTTGCATCTGCTTTACATTTGAGCAAAGCTTTTCATTTGTTGATTGAAACAGTGGCAGATCCAACCCAACCATCTTCAGCCCAATCGGAGAATAGCAATCTCTCTGCCCATGCCCACATGTCCATACGTGTGCATGAGTGGATGGTTCTATTTGCTCGCACTCAAACGATTCCGTTCCATGGGAACGCTGATAACCAATATTATGGTACAGAGCAAAGTAGTAGAAGTCACTAGCGGAGTCTGAGGACCCATCACGATCACTGCCATGAAAGGCAAATTCCCGGCCCAATTTCCAGCCTGCTGATGCGGGGTAGTCGGAGTCATGTTTGCTTACAACATTCTTTGTTTGGATTGCGAGTGTGCCAACAACATTTGAATAAGTAGCATCCATCAGCGGAATCTCATGATCAATTCCATTTTGACCAGGCTTGCAGACCGTAGCTGCGCGTCTTCTTGCAATCTGCTCGAACGCGCTGGCGTCAGGGACGTAATATAAAGGGAGGAAATGATTGAACCAAACGTATTTTGTCTTTAGGTTCTCAATCTGTGTTCCACCATTACCACTTGCGTCAATTGAATCTCCCACAAGGACTTTCAGGAAGTCATAGGCACTGACTCCCTTGTGTTTGGAACGGCCAGCCATCTCCATCTTTGCCATATCCATCGCTAGCAAGAGCACTATTCTGTGGATCAATTCACCAATTTTTCCTGTATCAACATCTGCTTCCTGGATCGCAAGCTGTAACTGCTCCAGACTGGTCTTCCAACCAGAAAAGTCTGCTTCTGGTCCAAGCAACGCAGAACGGCTCCCTTCAGCAAGTATAGGTTCAGAAGGGTAATTAATGAGAATGGCTTCTCGATCGTTGTACACATGTGAGCAGACGGCCATATGACCGCCCACCAGCTCGGAAGCAAAGCGGCGTCCAGGGTGAATACGAAGTGCGGCTCGGCATGCCAAACATGCAATCGCAGCTGCCTTTTTATGGTCACCATCGAGCTTTGCTAGGAGCTTTTCAGATCTGAGAAGTTTAAATCTTGCAAATTGAAGAAGGTTTGCCATTGTCAATCGATTCTTATTTTTCTGGAGGAACATTTCATAAGCATGCCAAAGCGGTCGGCCATATTTTGATAATTCGTTGTTGTTGTTGCTGTCAATGAATAGATCCAAGCAGTTGACAAAGTAAAATGGAGGCAACAGATATCCTTGATTTACCGACGTTGCCCGTGCAGAAGAGTCTAGGTGTCTAGCTGGCGCAAAGTTGGTCAAAGTTGATAAGGTGTCGGTAAATACCGCAAAGACACTCATCTTACTTGAAAAATAGCCTTTGCAAAAGCAACGTCGAACATCGCGGAAAATATTCTCTTCCAACAATGTCCTTCCTTCATCCATGAAAAAGATGAAATTATCTTCGAACCCATCTTTCGATCCAGCCTGGTTCTCAAAGCGCCTTTCCTCCCATACTACGTTAGCACGATTCTTTAACTTTGTTTGAAAGACAAGGAAATCGGTTTCTTCCCCCCCTTTTTGATGATTGAACCAATCCTCAGGAGTTGGTGGATTTTCTTTTTCTTTCTTCCACTCATCAAACCAGCTTTCGAAAAGCTCCTGCGTCGCTCGCATGACAGCTAGAAAGCGCAGCATGTGGCGAGTAGTCTTGGCGCTGGGTAAAGTTCCCGCTGCTAGTGCAGAAGATTGAAAAAGCGACGTTGTATTGCCATCTTCTACCTCTGATTGAATCAACCAGTTCATAACTGGGGACCGAGGTGGATATGTCCTGCCGTCTGTAGATCGTCGAAAGCATAAGTAGACTCCAAATATCTTGGATTTGAGCGAACTGAAGATCAGATGAGTTTTGCCCATACCCGAAGACTGAAATAATACAGTGTAGCCTGCGAAGTAGGTATCGCCACCTCCCCATTGAGCAATTTGTCCATTCAAATGCTTGCAAAACTTGAAAACAACGTTATTTGGATCTTCATGCTTTCGGAGGTCGTCATGAAATAGGTTGACACGTTGATTTTCGATATTCTTGTTCGCTGATTGTTTCTGGGCTTCGCTTTTCCTCTTGTAGTCCTCCTTCAAGACTTCCATGCACACGGTGTGAAGAAAACCGTACAATGGCATTTCATTTTCAATTTTCAGTCGTTCCTGCTGATGCTTGAGAAAATTCAACGACGTAATAGCAAGGGCTGAGGTAGTCTTCATAGCACTATTTGCTGCTGAGATCATGTCTTGGTTTCCCTGAAAAGCAGCCACGACCGCCTCACATATCGCATCGTGACGAAAATTGACCGCTTGCGCATCAGGAAACTCCTTTGCCTTCCCAATTATTGTCAGATACTTTTTGAGAGTCCCATCGTAATCCTCTGACCATTGTTGCTGTACAGAGTCCTTCACCAGCATTTCATATGCTGTAGATTCTTTTTCTTCTTCATTTCCATGTTCACTATTAGCCATATCCGTATCTTCGTTTGATGTGCTGCTACTAGACGCTTTGACTTCAGATTCAATCATTATAGCATCAGGATCGGCTTTTGAACGTTTTGCTTTTCGGTCTAGTGTGATAACGTTATGGCTACGATTGCTCATTCGATGAAATACGATCGGCCATCGAGCACCCCGATTGACTAGAGGCAAAAATTCGGGTCATTCTCCTTGTCACCACCCAATAGTCTAGTATGTAGAGAAGTACCAGAGAAAAGTACGCGTCCTGCCAAGGGGTTTTTGGCCGATAGGCTCTTGTTCGATTGATCTGATTGGTCCAAATGCGTCTTTCTTTTGTACATGCCATGCCGCATGCTCTAATAAATTAGCCATCGTTTACGCAACATACGTCTTTCCCAATGTCGCATATAGCTCCCAATTGATGGCATCTCTACATTTCACCTTCATGCCCTCGAAAATTGCGTCTTAGCAGCCCCCCCCTTTACTTCATCATCAAACATTCCAACACATGTGCCTTCCGAAATTCTACCAGAAGGAGCCAAAAATATCATGGCAGCAGCAAACCGACAGCTGGCACAGAACACTGCTGATTCGGGGTTCGAAAGCTGGAAACTCAGCATTGAAAAGGACTCCAACAAGAACAACATCAGCAACGTCAACAGCAATTGTTGGCACAGCAAGTTAGAAGGTTTGTTGGATACTTTCCTCCATACGCCGATATGGGAATCCAATCGCAAAACTGCAATGGCAGTATCGAAGCCGCAAAGAAAAGAGGCACCAAGATCAAGCGCCCGAAGCAGCAACTTTTGCGAGTGCAAGTTGGAGGGAGCCTTCCTTTTCTTTCTACATTCCATTGCAAACGATGCCATATCACCCAATTCGGATCAGCGGTGTTACAAAAATATCATGGAGGGCACCATGATCTCTGTAGAGAAGTACCAGAGAAAAGTACGCGTCAGCGCACTTGCTAGTAAGTGAGCGCAACAAGCACATTATATTTACCAAAAGACACCGGCCCGGTCCGTCTGACCTCCACCTCCAACAGGTCGCTGGAGAAGTGGAAGGAGCAATTGGGCCTTGAACAAAATTCCAAATTCCAATATAAAAATTAATTCCAAATTTATCGCAAGCACGTGCTATCGACTGTAACGACCAACGGTGAACATGCCCGCTTCCTCGCAGAAACACAAAAACACAACAGCAAAGACATAAAAACATTTTTTCCACCAAAACATCAACTACATGAGCAAACTGATGCTTTGACCCCCCTGCCTCTTTGTGGTCTCAACCCAGTCAACACATCTGTAGTAGGCTAGTGGCATTCCACACTCCTCAGAGACAGGTTCCTTCATCCGCTTCTGCATCCTGAGCTTTTTGCACAACTGTTCCTCAACTTTCATTGCGCAAAGTGACAAATAGTGTGCACCATAAAAGGCCCATTGTGTCGTGCCAACACTGCGGACGAAAGTTACGGGGTTTCTGGAAGATTTACGGGAATGGTATGTACTCCCATCCGTTTTTTCCAGTATATTCTCCTTTGATCCTGTATCAGCAATTTGTCCGGTAAAAACTCCTGTAGCACCAAGAAAATCCGTTGTTTGTTGAGCAATCCCGTAAAAACTCCCTTTCCCCTGCGTTTGATGGTAGCTTCAAAACTTGAGCAGACATATACCTTTATACAAATCGAATATTATATGCCATACAACACGATTGTCATGATGAACTGAAAGTGGTTAGAGAATTTTACGAGCTGATTCCTTTCGTCCGTTGAGCATCTCATCATGTGCTTAAATACTGCATCATATCCTTGGATCACACCCGCGTTTGCGCAATAATACAACAACCATCCCATCTCAATGTTTCTTTTTTTGAACCCTGTAAAGATTCCTCAGCCAGAGAATTGCCCCCGCAGTAATGTCAGCATCTCAATTGCCTGGTGGTGAATGCGCAAGCATTCTTGATAGTAGCGTCAACAAGAAGAACACAGCCGAATTCACATGTCTGAATGGGTTAATCTCGACTCCTCTTGTGGACCAGCACCTGTTCAACAGTATTGAAGCCGCAAAGAAAAGAGGCACCAAGATCAAGCGCCCGAAGCAGCAACTTTTGCGAGTGCAAGTTGGAGGGAGCCTTCCTTTTCTTTCTACATTCCATTGCAAACGATGCCATATCACCCAATTCGGATCAGCGGTGTTACAAAAATATCATGGAGGGCACCATGATCTCTGTAGAGAAGTACCAGAGAAAAGTACGCGTCAGCGCACTTGCTAGTAAGTGAGCGCAACAAGCACATTATATTTACCAAAAGACACCGGCCCGGTCCGTCTGACCTCCACCTCCAACAGGTCGCTGGAGAAGTGGAAGGAGCAATTGGGCCTTGAACAAAATTC